GAGTCGATCTATACACGTGTGTCCGTCCGTCCGTCTGTCCATTATATTTTGTAAACACGATACAGGCCACAGTTATGGACCAATCTTCACGAAATTTTGCATATAGGATGGATTCTGCCCAATGAAGACCCCTATTGTTTTTGGTAAAGATCGGTTAATATCTAGGGGATGAAATGGACCAAATACATAATTTTTATCGTTTTTTCTGGTCGCTCTAGAGGCTACAATTATGACCCAAACATCGCGAATTTTTGCATGCAGAACGGGATCGGGCCAAAGAATAAGCATGCCTGTTTTGATAAAGATCGGTCAATATTTAGCGAGTCAAATGGACCCTGATTTTGTGTGAAAAATTACAAAATTTGTATTCTATAGCGTATATATTCACACCTGAAGGACATAGAACCGAAAAGTTGTTGGTATATCCAAGGGCAGTGGTTGGTCTTTAAATTGATACCAATTATATGGTCGTATGTACTCAGATGTGGGAGTTACACTTAAACATTTACAGGTGCTTATGTATTCAGATATTATTTAGTAACCCTTTACCACACTAGAGGGCGGAAATATAGCTCTGATAGCTATAAAGTGTTCCATGAAGTTCCAGTTATGGTCAAGGATGACGCCTATAATTTTCGGTGACGATCACATAATTATATTGTGATGAAGTGGACCGAAAACTTAAATTTTTGTGTTTTTTCGAGTCGATCTATAGGCTCCAATGGGAATAAGAAGATCACAACACAAGGGAGGGGAATCTGGACAAGAAATTAGAAGGGCTATACTGAACATTATTAATACTTGTCGGCCTCTAGTTGGTCCAGATGGTTCAAATATCGCGAAATATTGCCCAATCTCAGAATATAAATCCACGGAAAGTTAGTTTTTCGTAGAAGTTGTGTAGAGTATCATATGGTCGGCCCCGTCCGACTATACAGCTCCGGCCACTTTTCGTTTTTTTTTTTTTTTTTTTTTGATCAGGATAAAATTTTATGTCGATATATGCAGGTTCTTCTGTCAGTCTGTCTTTCAGTTCGTCTTTACAATCACGAAAGAGATCGCAATTATTAAGATAGAGCTCTGAAATTTTGCACAGTCAATGCTACAGCTCTTAGGATGTTTGGTATTCAAATTGGGATATATCGGTCCACGTTTTGATGTAGGCTCCATATAACAGTACTATCCAATATTCGAAATTTTGGATACTTTTTTCCAATCGAATTGACTGTAATTTGTTATTTTGGGTTCTCATTGTATATATTACCTCCGTACCAAAAGTTATTAATACTGACCTAAATTTCAGGGTAGCCCCCATGTAACGGAACCTCAAGTATTCGTTTTCTTTTTTTTTGGATTTCTGACATGTTTTCCAACCAACTTGGCTGTAATTTGGTATTTTTTGTTTCTCATTGAATAACACGTATCCGTACCAAAAAAATTTAATATTGACGCCAGTTTCAGGGTATCCCCAAATTTATAAACCATTCAGCCCACTGTGGTATGGGGTATTATGTCTTTGTGGATATGTTTGTAACAGGCATCAGGAAGCGAGATAGACACATTTTTAATTTTGAGAATATGCATAGAATCACTTTCTGAGTGATTTATGCATGTCCGTAAATAAAGTACAGGTCGCATTTATAATCCGAATTGAATGAAATTTGGCACAGATCATTTATTTGGTCCTGGGGCTAACCCCAATGAAATTGGGAAAATCGGTATATATTGGGAAATTTTGATATAGCTTCCATATATATTTTCGTCCGATTTAATGAATACGGTGCATCATAGTCCCTATATATATCTTTTGATTTGCACGAAATTTGGCATAGCTTATTGAAATATGTCTACAATAATGACATAGACATAGCTCCCATATATTCGTCCGATTTAATGTAAATGGTCCACCAAAGACTCTATAAATCTCTCAATTTGCAAGAAATGTGGCATAGCGTACTGAATTGAGTCCAGAATGATGTGTGCGAAGTTTCGTAAAAACCGGTTCAGATTAAGATAATGCTACCATATATATTTTCGTCCGATTTTATGTAAATTGTGGACTAAAGACCCAAAGTGTCTCCGATTGGCACAAATTTTGTATAGTGTACTGAAATTAATATAAATTAATCGCTGGCAAGTTTCTTTATAATCGGTTCAGATTTAGGTATAGATTAACATAATTCGGAATGTCCGATTTGGGCTAAATATGCACCGTTTTGTTTTGTGATTTGTTGCCTTTTTAAAGATGACTTCATAATGCCTCTCTAATAGAAGTCCTGATGTTTATTTGCAAAAAACCCTAGTAGTGATTTTCACAATCCTCCCTAGATTTTTATCATTAAAGAAATTTTGCAATGCAAAAAAAGATGATAATCTCTGGACTGTATGGCGGCTGTATTAAAACTTTCTGGCTAGTCCCTGTGGATGTGTGTGTCTAAGCGTTGTCCTGGTGGAACACGACACCTCTCCTGTTGGCCAATTCTGGTCGTTGCCGGTCAATTTTTATCTTCAAACGGTCCAGTTATTGACAGTAGAGATCAGAATTTAGCGTTTGGCCATATAGAAGAAACTCATAATAAATAATCCCCTTCCAGTCCCACCAAATGCATTGCAGAACCATCCTGGCCGTTAGTCCTGGTTTGGTGCTTCATTGCTCTTTAGAAAAATGCTGCCTAGATCGCACAGGGTTATCGTATGTGATCCATTTCTTATCACCAGTCACCATCCGTTTTAGCAATGGGTCTATCTCATTCCATTTGAGCAAGGCTTCGGAGATGGAAATTCGATCCATCCAATTTTTTTCTGTTAATTGGTGTGGCACCCAAACATCGAGCTTATTTTCGAATCCAGCTTTGTGTAAATGTTTTAAAACAGTTTTATGGTCGATTTTTAGCTCCTGGGCAATGTTACGCCTGCTAACATGCCGGTCAACTTCGATCATTTCTCCGATTTGATCGACATTTTCGACGACCGGCCTAATGGATTTCTTTTTCCCCAACATTTTTCGTTTCGATTTTAGTTAAATGGTGCACCAAACTTTATAGTAGAGTGTTCCTGCCTTCGCTCAAACCAAAACGATTTTCACTTATTTCATTTTGTGTTTGTTGTTACTTGACTATAAGAAAAATAGTTCAAAAGACAAGGAAAATGTTGTTGTTATTTTTATTTACTTTTGTTGCCGAATATAAACACTCGCCGATGCTGAAGAAGAAAATGAGGATGATGACGACAACTTGGGGTTGATGATGATGCCGGAGAATAATGATGACGATGTTGTTGATGCCATCGCCACGAACAATGAGAACGTTCAGTGGGTGTGAGTGTGTGCGTGCGTACGTGTATATTTCGGAGGATGATGTTCTGATGATGCTCCAATGGTGTGGTGGTCTATCCGATGATGATGGTGGCACATAGAAAAATGCTGCCTCTCTTACCGCTTCATTGACTTGTGCATTTTACGGCATTATATCGCCATGGCATGATCAGTGAAATTGAAAAAAATAAAATCAAAATAAATTCAGTTCCTCCATCTGCTGTGATCAATTGTGTTGGGATTGTGGTTTTTTAGGTTTTCACTTGTCGTTTTTTCTTTCTCTTCGCTCTGTTTGGTAGTGAGACGTACGTCTCTGCTCTGATTTTAGTTATGGCCGCCGCCTGATTGCTGCTGATACGCAACGTGACCATAATCGAGAGATTTAGTGAAATCAATGAATGCTAAAGGCAAAGATGAACGCGCGGCAAAATTGTGAAGAGCAAAAGTAGATTTGGAAAATATATGTTGAAAAAGAAAAAATAAAAAAAAATATTGAATGAAAAAATAAATTGAAAATTCTGATAATAAAAAAATAAATAAAAATCAAAAAAATTAATATTTATTTTGCTTAAAAAATTGTGTAAATTTTATGTTGCTAATATTTTTTATTGCTGTTTATAAAAGCTTGTGTGTCTGTTTTATTCTTTATGTGAAATGACAACGAAATATTCCCCTTAAGAGAAAAGGGAAAAATTAAAAAAATGAAATTTTTTATAAATAAAAAATAACAACAAGTATTTATTATAATTAAAAAATAACCAAAAATTTTAATAAATTAAAAAAAAATAACAACAAATAATTCAAATAAATTAAAAATACAAAAGTGTGTTGAAAGTGAAATCTCTTTGAAATTTATGTGAAATAAATGTATATGAAAGAAAAAGCAAATCACAACGAAACCCATATTTTTGCCATTATGAAAAAGTGTTCTCAACGAAAATAGTCCCCATCGAAATACCAAAAAAAAAAAATTGTGTTTTTGTCATCACCAACAAAAAAGAAAAAAAGCTACGCAAAAAAAACGAAAATATTTCCCCAACCAATTTAGTTTTACCCGTTGTGCTAAATTTGTTTTCTCCGAACCGAAGAACGAAATAAAGAAATGTCCAATATTGTTATGCCCGAAATCTTAGTCATCTCTTGAGAGATATTTTCCGTAGCGTTTGGTGTTTTTCACGTTTTTATTTTTCGCTCAGATGTTTTACTCGTGTTTTTTTTTTCAAATGACACAAGCAAATTTTCCAACAACTGTTGGCTGTCAATTTTAAGGAATTTTTGTTTTGTGTCATCTTCGGTTTCGTTGTGCGTGTTCGGCATCGTATTGCTTTTTTTCTGAAAACTTTTCGTTTTGTTTTTCAATAATTTTTTAAAATTTTGTTGTTGTTTTTGTTACATTAACTCGAAATAGTTGAAAACGGTTTTATTTTTAAACTGCAGAAAATTAAATCATTGTAAACAACGAAGAGTTCATTGGCGTTCCACACACAACTCGGCCGATGACTATACATGCATGGAACGACGCAGCAATATTAACGACACAACAATCTATGGTGTTGCAGCCAAACAACACAATCCAACTCCATCGAACACAAACGCATCGACACCACCTCTATACACACCATTGGCCACAACCGCATCCATCACACTGGCACCCACGCCCTTATCCCTTTGTGCTGCTGTTGAAGATATGGCGGCATCAGCGTCACCGTCCGCATCTTCGTATCCCCTAATGAGAGCGGCAACAGCAAATGCCACATTTCCCCATGCCAGCGCAGGTGGGGGTAGTCTTGGCAGCGGCGACAGCAACAGCAGCCTTAGCTGCTGTGCCAGCAACAACAGCAGTAAACAAAATCTAAACAACAGTTCATTAACACTGCCAGCATCGCCGGTGCCTTCGGCGGATTATAATAACAGCACCATTACGAACACCACCCCGTCAATGGCATGTTTTTCTCCAAATTCAACAACAACAACAACATCTTCATCGTACAATACAGCAAATGCAATGCCGGCATTTATGCCGTATAGCAATAACAACCACAACAACACAAACACCACCAACAATTTTAATAATAACAATGGCAACAACAACATGCGGGACAGTTCGTGTTCCAATCCAAACAAACAATGTGTTTTTAATTTAACCAATTCACCACCCATTACACCCGAACCGTATCCCTATCGTAAATCGCTATCGTTCTCCACACCGATATCAACGACTACAACTCGTCCAAAAATAACTCGCAATTCTAGCCGACATAGCTTGGGAAATTATGCCGTAACACCAGCATCAATGACAGCATCAAATACTGGACATCATCATCATCCACGACGTAGTAGCCTCTGGCCTGAGGCATTAATGATAAATACTCGGAATTTTGCAACAAAGGATACTGAAAGGCGTACATCGAATTTGACGGTATGTAAAATGTTTGGATTCAATAAAAAAGCGAATATTACAACAACAAAAAAATTACTAATTTTTATTATCATGGGTATTTTCTTCTGGTTATAATCTAGAATGTGGGCGTGTTATTGGGTCCTACGGCTGTAACAAAAACGAAGTTTTGATCCCAGGCCGAGCGCGTTTTATAAAATAGATACTGGAATTAGTTATGTGTTTGTCTGAACATTCGACAAAATCCTAATACAGTCCTGATTCTCGCCAAGGTGATACATATGGGTGATGTCCGGTTAATATTTATTATCACCCCCACCATAACATGACGGGACAAATCGGAGAAAAATCTCACTCATTTGCACAATATTTACTTGCTATATGTAAATCTGAACATATACAGTGGCACAATATTGCGATCATGACTTTGGGGATGGACAATTCCTTGTGAGGATGAAAGCTCTTGGATAATCAGAATCCAGAAGGATAAATTCTGCATAGATCAAGATTTGGAGTTATGGTAATTCTAAAGTATATAACTTGACATGTTTTTCTTCAAATCGAATGCGGAATCATGACTTTGGGGATGGGAAATTCCTTGGAGAGCATATTCAGAACCCAAAAGCATAAATTCTCCATAGGCCCAGATTTCGAGCTATGAGATTATATATTTTTTGCTGATAATTCTAAAGTATATGGGATGACTTGTCTTCGGTCAAATCGAATGAAGAATATGTTTTCGGCCTTATTTTCTTAAATCGCAAACTAACACGAGATTTGTTAACTGCAAATTTCCACAAACATATTTTAGATAAGGTCCCCAAAGACAAGAAATCGATTGCAAGAAAAACTTATATCTACGATCACTATTAAAGTTCTTGGATTGTGAACAGATTCCCATAAAATCATTGACTATGCATTAAAACAAAGAGGTCCGGATCCATTTTAAATTTTAGCAGAGGGATAATTTCTGCTTCTCAGACGACAAAATACACCCTCGTGAAATGTTCGCAATATTGGTCCATGTTTCGGCATAGGCTCCAAATGAAAATCCCGTACCATTTTAAGTATTTTGTAATTTCCAGCCACATTTTCCAACCTAAGAGGGTGTAATGTGCCATTTCAGATTTTTGAAGAGTAAAATATTTAAAGCCAGTACGGAAAGTAGTAAAGTCGGATGGGGCCGACGTCCTAACAGACATCGCATTTTTCAAAATCATTAGCATGAAATTACACAAAAAAAAAAAAAAAAAAATATTCACATAAAATCGAACGAAACTATACATGGGAGCTATATCTAAATCTCAACCGATTTCCACTAAACTTTGCACACAGTAGCCTATTACTGACTTCAGTATGTTCTGCAAAATTTTGTGCTAATGGGCTCTGCTTTGGGTCTTTAGTGCACTATTAACTGAAAATTGGACAAAACTGTATATGGGAGTTATGCAAAATTTTGTGCGAATCGGCCATATTTTGGTGTTTTGGTGCACCATTTACTGAAAATCGGACGAAATTATATATGGGAACCGATTTCAAAGAAACTTTGCTACACAGTAGATTATACAAACTTCAGTACGTTGTTTAAAATTGTGTGCAAATAGACCACATTTTGGGGCTTTGGTGCACAATTTACTGAAAATCGAATAAAGCTATATCTAAATCTGAACCGATTTTGCCCAATTTGTATAGGGTTCGTCTTTGGTCAAATTTCAAATTTCATCCAATTCGGATTATAAATGCGACCTGTACTTTGTTTACAATTTAACACCAACACACAGACGGACGGGCGGACATGCATAAAGTGATTCTATGCATATTCTCAAAAGGGAACATGTGTCTATCTCGTTTCCTTTTGCCTGTTACGGGTAATATGCACAAAGACATAATACCCTGTACCACAGTGTGATGGAGGGTATACAAATGTATATAGGTCACGGACTCGATAAAGCTCCTATTTAGGGGCCCTTCATATTTAATTTCCGATCCTATAAAGTATATATATTCTTGATTAGGGTAACATTCTAAGACGATCTAGCCATGTCTGTCCGTCTTTTGTAATCACGCTATTTTCTGTAGGAGATGGGGTGCTGAAATCGGTCAACATAGCTCCCATATAAGGGTATTTGTATATTTTGTATTGTATATTTTTCGATATACAATCAATCTTCGGTATTTTAGGTCTTTTGATAGAGCTTTTCAACCGAATTTGCTGTAATTTGGTATTTTGTAGTCGTATATGTTATCAAATCTCTCCACTAAAAACTGTAAATATAGGTCCATATTTTTCCATATCCCTCATATTTTCAGTACTTTGAGGGTTTTAAGTTGGTTTTAAGTTAAATATTTATATTCGACCCCTCCTGGAAAAAGTATGAAATTTGTGTAATCATTCTACTTTCTGAGGATATCGAGATAAAAAACTAAAACGTCAGGTTCGAGAATGAAATATATCGACCAGCACCTACCCATAATAATGACTTACCGATATTCTGAGTTTTAGTTCCGCTTTAGGTATAGCCTCCAGATATGTACGCATACAAAAAAATGTCTGCAAGATTTCATATTGAACCAGCATCTACAACCCGACATAAAATCCTGTGTACGTTGGTGATGATCTCATATAATTTTGCCCTATAAGTTGAAGTATTTTTATCAATACCGGCCCACGTTTCGGTTTCGTAAACCATTCGAATGACAATTGATCTGCCGCTCTTGGCACTCATTCCTTTTTCAAGGCAGTCTCAATACGACAGTTAGAGATGCTATTAGGAGTACACCACATCCTGAACCCAATGTTGTCCACAAATTGCCAATAATCAATAGTCCCAAAACATACGTTTTATTTTAATTTCGAATATAGAATGGACAGACCATTGTATTAGTCATTCCTTAAAATAAACTCAACTTCCTACAGAATTAGCTGTAGCCGTTTTTAGGAAAAACGCTTCTAACCCCTAGGACAATCTTCGATATAGAATGCACCTTTATTCATGGACCTCAATTTTTGGCATTTTCCCGAATTTTTTTAAATTTTTAAGTTTAACATGTAATATTCAAATTTTCTTTATAGTTATTTATTTCAAATTTATATAGTTTGGTATTAAAATGTCAGGAATCCAAAATATAACAAAAAGTATGGTTTTTGGAGAAACCCCTAAACTAAGGGCTATTAGTAAACTATTACAAATAACCAGATACATTCATACTGGCGACACCCTTTGTTTCTGTGTTAACAAATACGCTTATGAAGTAAACAAAAACAAATAAGGCTTTTTACCCTCTTTAGAATATTGTATAATACAAAGAATGTAATCCAAAAAATTAGTTCACCAATCCCATATATTGAAAACCTCTTCCATTTCACTATCTCCATAAGTATTACCACACGGACTTGACTCTTACTTAACAAGAAGAAAAAATAAAACGCACAAACAAATATATATGGACATTGTTTGTTGTTTATTTGTAACAAAATTAACATATAAATGACAATATTTCTAATATACTCGCATACATATGTAAATGTATAGTGTCATATGCGTATGTAAATAACTATATAGTTATTGAAAACTGATAGTACGGGGCGGGTGCGTAACTTTCTTAATGTTATTTTGTCTGACATGTGACGTAGAGGCCATTGCTTAGCCATAAAAAGTAATTCACATGTCTCCAGAGTCTCTACTAAGTACAGAGAGGACATATACTCTGCGCTATGGTTCGGAATGTAAGTAAGCAGTACGTGTTCGACACACACCTACATATTTGTGCAAATATGTGCGTTCTCTTATAACTATTTGCCGAAAATGCCGACGATTCACATAGACACGCACAAACATTAAAGGAGACATTACGTCGCATAACCAGACTAACCTATAGATTTATGGTTGGTCGCCAAAGTCGACCTTTTTTCAGTTTCGTCTTTCTAGTCATCGTGTATGTGTATTTTTAAATATTTTACTTTTTTCATTTAAGTTTCTCTGTTTTTCTTTTTTTTGTAGTTTTCTTTTTTTATTTTGCCTAGCCTTTCTCCAAATAAAAGAGTACCAGCAAATTGTTCGAAATGAAACATGTTGAAATTATACATGAAACTTATTAAAAAGCAAAAAGGAAACAAAATAACATCACGCACACGTAATAATCAGGAGGGTACATGAAAAATAATTAATGGATATACATACATAGTTCTTTTTAGGTCTTCCCTATATAAAAGACGTTTTTCCAGATTAAAAACATTTTCTATTAAAGAACCATATTTTGTATATTGGGTACTCTGACGTGGATTCCACAGATAGAAGATCCGCTAAATGTCTACTAGGACCTCGCACAGGTCTCCTATAAATAAAAAGTCGTCGACAGTCCTCCTATAGCGATAATAGTTAGTTATGTTGTAGATGAATGGCCTGTCGTAAGCCTAAATATTGTTCCTAAATATTTTCTATATAAAGAAGATAGCTCTTATATAAAAGAGTTCTTTTAGGTCTTTTATATAGCGAAGCTCCTAGAAGTCTTCCATACAACAAAATCTCTATAGAAGATCTCACATTCATATTAAGAATATATCCACAAGTTATTTATTAAAGAAAGATATACTGCAGATAGGAACTTTCACAGATAGAAGATCCGCTAAAAGTATTCTAGGACCTCGCACATGTCTCTTATAGATAAGAAGTCTTCGACAGTCATCTTATGGTGATAATATCTCTCATATGTATATTGTAGATGAATGACCTGCCATAAGCCTATTATAAAAGAAATACTTCATGAGATTTACAAATTTCATACATAAGACCTCTGCAGGTTCGTGTAAAGAACACCACCGCAGGGTTCCCATAGAAGACTTTCTACAGGTTTCCTTTATATAGAATACATCCTACAAGTGTGCTTATATAGAAGACCTCTTACAGGTCTTCTTGTGTAGAAAAAAACTTCGACGGATTTTTCTTATATAGAAGACCTCCTATGAGTCCTCAATTCTGTAGATCTTTTACAGAAGAGCAGCCAACGGTCTTCAATGTGCA